AATACAATGATAATGTTTATTTAATAAAAGGTACTTAAATTTATTTGGTTTGTTATGTCATTTGACGTTATTATATTATAATATTTGTTCCTTTTTTTTTTCTTATTACATTTTTTTTTACAGAGCGTTATGTCAATTCTAGATATCTTATCTAGATAACTTTGTACTTATCTTTTCCCAACACTTCTGGTGTCTGCAACAGTTATACACACAAAACATAAAATTCTACAGTCATACTATCAATAACACATCTAGAGCGGTTACTACTGTGTTCGACATTGATGGAACGGCAGTGATTATTGTTTTCGTACCTAACCTAACCCAACGTGGCTTTTATAATGTCACAATGTCAGTATCGAATGTAATAATAATATCATTATACAACGTCGGCGTGGCATGGCCATACACAAAATGTGATCGGTTAAGGTTGTGTGGAAAGTAATAATAATACACACGATTCGGCGTTAGGCGGGTGAGAATATTCTTTTCGGTTAAAACGAATGCCTGTTTTGTAAACTAGCTTGCGCACGGATTAATTAAAAAATCACCTAGATGAGTAAAGTAATAATAATAATAACAATTACCATCATTGGAACGTATCGCATTGCGCAAAACCCATTTTTCCACACGGTTCGGATGGACCTTATTAATTATTAATTCATTACCGTGGGACCATAGCAAGTCGGTTCGAATCGCCCATCTTGTTTGCTGCTATACCTGTACAAATATATAATAGGTCTAGGTTTTCGAAATCCAAGAGTTTTACCCTAAAACTAATATACTATGTATTTTGTTCGCGTGAAAAACGAGTAATATCGTTAAAACTAACCTAAGTCCTAAATATGTTTTCAAAATGACAAACTACAAGGTTGCAATAATTATTTTTCACAAAAACCGAGTACTCCGTCCTTAATGAATTGCACCGTGTATACTTGTTAGACATAATGTAACATATATTATTATATTATGTATCTTCCGGTGCCGAATGTCTATGGCGCCGTTGTGGCAAGTGGAGGAAAAAGTGAAAATGCGCTTAAGCCACTTGACCCGGCCGCCGAAAAAGGTCAGCCGTTCCGTGAAAGCGTCTCTCACGGATCATCACGATCCCGGTCGGGGCCAATTATCCCGGTATGGCGACGTAACGTGATTTTTAGATTTTTTTTTTGTCGTTGAAGTTTAAAAAAAAAAAACAGTGTTTTTCAAATTTGCCATCTACAGTCTGTCTTTAATACAGCGTCGACAGGAATATATTTTCAACGGTGATCCGACGATCGGTTGTCATTATTAGATATTATATTATCATGTGCGAGACGGACGATTCGGCCGACCTCCGGCCGAAAACGGTTGTTTGCCCAGGACAAACAAGGGGACTGCAGTGGCTCTCGTGTCGAGGCCTCCACAAGGTTTTTTATTTGTATCTTTTCGGTCCACTCGAATTATTTTTTTTTTTTTTCAAACACTCGGTCGTGTAGCGTAGCATTTTTACTTTCCATGAAATAGGCACACAAAATGAGTTAAGTGGTTAAAACTCATTGCCGTCGTTACAATGTATTGTATACAAACAGCCGTTGTGCAAGCCATGCTGTACACAAGAACGGTCATCGATCTTGAGCGGGATTCCCGCCTTCTACTGAGGTACCTCAGCCATAGTGTACTACAAACTGTCTTCAAAAAATTAAATCATCAGGCTTGTCGGCTAATTCCAATTGAGCGTACCAATTGCAAATACATTTTTGCGTTATCTAAGTTTCCTAACTTTCCCGTAGTAACTGATCATAAACAAGAACCTATCCGTGCCTCAACAGCTACTATGTAGGGCGGTCAGGTCGTGATGGTACCGCCGGAAGTTCGGTCCACGGTCGTGAGTTAACGACAGGCTAATGTTTTATACAGCCACTTTTATTTATTTATTTTTTATTTTAAAAACTTAAGCCCCGAGTTGTTATTCCGTGCTGTGACAAAAGGTCGTCTTTCACCGTGATCGTAAACATGTTACGTTGTTTAATGTTTACGCTCGATATTCTTGCCAAAGGTCGAGTGGAAAACGCACACGTGTACTTACAGCCGGATTACTTTGTCTCATGTCAAAATCTTTTTTTTTTCAACTACTGTGTGTTAAAGTTATATCAATAGTGTACCTACAGTTTCACACAATATTATAAAACTAGTCTACTTGCAATTTACATTTTTTTCAAATTTTAGTTGTTCAAAAGATGAGTTAACAATAAAGTGTGATTTCGTTTAACGTAAGACACTCATCATCTCAGAAGTTAATTAACATTTTGTAGTTTTTCTTTTAAAAAAAATGTTTGTTTAGGTGAATTTATAATGTAAAATTACTAAATACCACTGTAATGGTATTGCATGTATTCAATTAAATAAAGAATAAATTGCTGAGTATTTAGACCGGTCGATAACCAGTTTTGAATGATTACATTAAAAGTTGAACAAATTTAGGATGGAAGTTGCACCCTACCTCCCGTCCTAAATTAAAAACTTCAATACCATTATACATTGTTTCTCCATAACTGGTTATCAACCAATTTTTAGTTAATTATAATTAATTAAAAAAAGGTTACCAACGTGAATATACAAAAATGTAATCATTATTTGTCTAATGTTTTAAATAATACTAACTGGAATATCTTCTGAAAAGAAAAAGAAAAAAAAAATTGTAATCATTTTCAGAGATAATGAGTAAAATTCTAAATCTTTTAAATCTATTAAAAATCTATAGTAAAACAACAAAATTAAAAAAAAAAGGTTATTATTAAAAGTTGATATTGGAAAATTAATTTGACTTTGCTTTTTTTACTCTCATCTAATAGTAATATTAAAGTTATGTAAAGTAATGAATTGTACCGGTTTTGATTTTTGGCTAACATTTTTACTTGACGAAACGTGCACACATTTATAATTTTGATTATATTATAATATATTGTGAAAGTTTTAACGGTTTTTATTTTTAATTTGACGCCAAATTAAGTATGTACGATTAAATGCCATAATCTATCCAAGACGAACGATATTATGAGTTTTTAGAAAATGATCACACTATTTTTTCAGACGCCGAATCAGCGAGGGTACTGTGGTAATATCTTTTTATCGCATAATTTCGTGTATTTTCTTTACATAATAATGCGATTAAAATGTATACTTGTATACACTTAACCCGGCAAAGCCCTCTGGACGAGACGAGTGGGACTCGCAAACTATTACACGGTGTATTTGATTATTACAACACCGGCGGTGTTGTGCATATTTCCGTGAAGATGTCTTGGAGTAAATTACACGTTGTTGGTTTTATTTTTTTGGCGGTTGACTACTCCCGTGTGAATTACACGTTGTAATATGAATATATTAACCGCAAGTAGGTAAACGCCAACGTCGCAAGTAGAGCGGACAAACGGCTTGTAACTTGTTATAATAATAAAAAAAAATGTTTTTTTTATGGTATACAAAACTTTAAAGCAAACGCACTATATCAGATAAAGTTCTGAAACTCATCACTAAAAAGAAAAGTACACACACATTTGACTTTTTTCAAACTCAAATCATACCAATTTTTCATACTTTAATAGTTATTAGTATAAGCCTAAATTTGATACATTTTTCAACGATCCAACCCTCGTGTGTTGAAACCTTATAGACTTAAGATCTTTAAACGGTAACGTAGTATACATTATCTTAACCTGTTAAATTAGAAAAAATAATTGTTGAAAATGTTTACTCTGGACGATAACTCCATATAACTGATTACTTTTAAAATTATTGATGAAGTTCAGAATAATTTAGGACTGGAAAACGGAGTGTGGTAGTTTAAATACCTTTAAAATAAAGACTGAAAACTATGGTTTCGAACAGTCAAGATTTTCGGTAAATTATTTATTTATAACCAAATATAAACGTTACCATTGAAGTTTCAAAAGTAAATGTTTGGTAATTTTATAAACTGTGTACAAGTCACGTTAGCTAAGACTGAACGTCAACCAAAACAGCTAAGGTTTGTATACTTGGGCGGTCAGGGAGTGTTCGAACAGAAGTAGTGTGTATAATATAATATTTTTGTCCGGACGTTATTGATTTATATAATAATAGTAAAATATAATAATATATGTGATGGGAAATCGGGTTTGGACTTTTGAATTCATGTTGTAGGCATTGTTTATGTATCGAATCGTGACGGAGCTTATAAATCGAACGCTCCGGGGGGCGGTTTTGGAAGGTACAAAGCAAACTCTTGAAATTAATTCCTGCTAACAATAAACGATTTTCCGGAAAAACCTTTATACCTCGGTGCCCCGAGTGCTCTGCTCTGGCTGTGTAATAAATAGACCGACGGAAGGAAACGAATAAAAATCTCGTAGTGTGCGTTTTTAGTACACCGACAGTATAATATTATATTATATGTGTTATAGCCCAAAGTGGACGGATCGCCTTCGGAATAGAAAAGTCGCTGTGTGGGATCTAATAAAATAAGTATATAAAAACAAAATCGTTATTCCGTTTCAAATTACAAACAAATCAAATCTAGTCAAAACAAATACGAGTATAATAATTCTGCGAATAACAGCCACAAAAGCTGCGACGTGCGAGTGCAGAAAGTATTCTTTTCGGAGCAGAGTAAATGTTTATCTTATGAATTACCGTTTTGTACCCACTATAGGTATAAGACGTCACGTTTACTTTTTAAATATTTCACGGCGGGATGCAAATACAAATATCAAAACAATAAGTAAAATACCATGTTTGTTCTGTGAATCTCATTCGGTATGTAAAATTTACAGACACTGTATTTTTTGATACAAGAACACCTTTAATAAATTTGAAGAAAACTGTATTATGCTTTCTCATTTTTAAATATTTTCATCGCTTATTAGATGTGTGTAATACGCTTGGAACGATTTGTTACGAGCCTAATGGAGTGTATAATAATGTTTATAATATTATTTAATTTCGGTTTAAACTTTGAGCTTGCACCGTTAACGTAAAACACTTACCAAAATTATATCCACAGACTGGAAAAAAATTAAAGCTTCTCGCCGTTACCGATGTGGGCAAAGAAAATAAGTTAAAAAATATATATTGATAAAAGTATTAAACGACGCACACTGAAATAAACAAACAACTAAGCCAAAAAGAATTAACTAAAAACCGAATGTGATAGTTAGCATTCACGTTCACAATTGCCTGGGTGCTATTCCCAGGCGTCTGTTATATATTGGCCATCTCTTAAAATGTAAGTGTGTGGTGGAGTGGTCTGAAGTCGACGCGAAGACTTTCATTTTCTACACGGTTTCCATAAAAACTATGATAGAAAAAAAAAAATCGAAATTTAGTCAAGAAATATTCATATTAGACCTTTGTACACGTCTTATTTTTTATCAATTTTATCAATTAATATTTTTATGGTATGCAAATCGTTATAAGCCAATCATATCGTTATAGTAGTGTTTTCAAAATCCATCAACCGAAAAATATATAAATGTATTATGCGGTTTTTTCCATCGAGGAATGATTGGGCTAGTTAATTATAAACAATATTAAGTTCAGCTCAGTTAAATTATACACACAAACTTTACACTAGATAAAATAATTTGTAATATATACATATATAATGTAGCAATAATACTGTTAATTGTTTTTCAGTCAGTAGCTAGATTAAGGGGGAGTGGTAACTTTAGAAACTTCAATGGTAACACATAGATTTAGTTAGTTTTTTAAATTAAGACTAATTGGACACTAATAATCAGTTTTGTATAATTACTAAGTGTGGTAAAGTAATGCGAGCATATAAAATGAACCACGTTGCACCCTTTTTCCAGTCTGAAATTTTAAGCCTTATAAACTTATAAAGCAATGATCCAAAATTGATTATCGCCCAGTCAAAATTTCCAGCAATTTATTCTTAATTTTAAAAGGTTATTAAATATATAGAAAATGTGAAAAAAAATGTAAATATTCAGTAATTTTATAATATTTTAAAACAACATAAAAATATATAAATTGTTTTCAAAAAGAAAATAATACAAAATTGCAAATTTCCCGAGAAAATGAATGTTGTAAAAAAAAAAACAGGACTGTTAGACTGGGTGACTTTACTTGCGCGAATTTTAGATATTAGATAACGAGTAAAAAGTCAATGATAATTTTATTCGTTAAAAATAAATTCATTGAAAAATTATACAAGACGGGACTCGTTGAAGGCACGTGGGGGGGGGGGAGAGATTGTGACCACATCTTGAAAGGCATTAAGACACGTAATTGCCTTTCCGGGTACGTTGACTAAACACAATTAAACCGTGCGTGTTTCGCCCGGAGTAACGGAGATAAAACATTTAAATCTACAAAAAAATATAATAATAAAAAAACTTGTAGCTGTACACGTCTAGCCAATAAACTAGCAGATTCCATAGGGAAGACCCATGTTGTTGTTATCCAAAGGATTGCGGTATCTGATAAAATGTTCTTACTGAAAATTTAAAAAGCAAAAAATGAACATTTTAGTTAGATATAATTTCAATTTTTCACACCAACAAAATAAATGACACGTTTATATCAAAGGACGGGCACGTGCAAAGACATTTTTTTTCTCATCGTTTGTAAGCAATTCGTTTTGCTTTTACCCATCCAAATTTTTTCTTGGATACAATTAACCAAACAAATTGTTCACTGAAATAGTCTGATACAAAAAAAAAAATAATAATAATAACCCTCATTACTGTATTATCAAGTTCACCAGAGTCTAAGGTCCAAATTAAAGCTATGCAAAAAATTACCTGTACATAAATCAGCGGTTTGGCATCCTCTTAATATTATTTTATAGTATTAAAAGTAAGTTAAAGTATTTTTTTTCGTTTGGTTATTTCCAGAGCAACTTTAGAATATTAAATAGTAACATAAAAATTTAATTTGTAATCTAAATTAAGAATAACTTGCAGACAATTTTGAATGGTCAATAACCAGTTTTGAACTATAACTTTTACAGTTATTATGGTTTAAATTATGAAACTGAAGGTGGAGTGAATTAGTGTAATTAAATATAATACTTCACTCTACTGTGATTCTAGTTTTAAATTTAAAACTTTTAATAATTCTGGTACTCTGACTAGGCAAAATTTTCAGCTCATTATTCTTAATATAGAACCTAAATATAGAAACTTAATTAAGTTTAAAGATTTAAATAAAAAACTGCAAAATTGTCAATTATTTTCCAAGTGTGTGTCTCCCGCTAAATGAAACACCCTGTATCATGCACTAAGTGAATAGCCACTTAGCGCGTTAGATTAATATATTATTAATGGGTATGTAACATTAATGAAGGGTTCGTTAACAGTGCACGGATCCCACGACGATGTTGGTTTATTTATTTAAACTTCTACATACCGGTAAATAGGATTTTTGAATAAGTATGTAAGTCTTTGTTATTCTCTTCTAGTACATTAATCAATGCGAAACTCTCTAATCTTGTTGGTTAGTCAAACAGTTGACAATTTTAATCCAAACAACAAGTCAACCGACTTAAAGATAGTGATAGAAAATGTTAAAAATCTTCAAGATAAATGAATATGTTTCGTCGTTAATGCGAATCATATGACATTGTACAAAGTTATTTCTCTTTTTTATAGGAATAAAAAATAAAAAATAATATAAACAAATTTTGATAAAATCCCAAAAGGGAAATTCAAAATTGTAATGATTTCGAATAAAATGCTATGTTATAGAAATGTTATAAGCATGTAAGTTTGTAAGCATGTAAGTATTAATTTTATTTGTTTGGCGTTTAAAAAAAATACTTATGTCAACGTTTGTATTTGATTTGCTGTCAAAAACAGATGTAAACATCTGTAAACATCATTTTGATAACATTAAAAATATTTAGATACTTATAATTACAAAGTTTTAAATTTAGGACTGTAGTAAAGATGGAGTGCAGTATTATTTTTATTTGCTTACATTACTTTACCACATTCCATCTCCCGTTCTAAATTTTAAACTTTTATAACTTTAAAAGTAATTTTCCAAAACGAGTTATCGTCCAGTCGATAATTCTTAATTAACAAATTAACTAAATTAACTTAATTAACTAATTAAACCTATATTTTACCACTTAAGTTTCAAAAGTTACCCCCTCTCCCTAAATCTAGCTACAGACTGAACATTGTTTTTTATCTATTATTGTTTGATGAAAATAAAAAAGGTTTCGCATAAGTCAACTTTTTAAATATTTAAGTATATCACCGAAAAATCAGGTCTTACATAAATTTCCTTGCATTATGTATATGTTTACTGTTTAATATGTCATACTATTATATACTTTATTACACTTTGTATTACACTTGACTATTATGTTTATGGATTCCTTAAAATGTTTAAAAAAAATCGTATATGCATTTAGATATAATAAGGTAATAATTTACAAACATCGTTTTTTTCAAATATAAATTAAAAAAGCTATCAAGACATCATAAAAACATATATTTTAAATAGATAAAATGGTTTTACCGACATCTCAGTTAAAGTTTTTTTTTTAATCATAATATGCTAGTCGGTGATAGAACAATATAGTGTTGTAACGTTCTCTTTCATGTGAAATTCGTGTGTACAATGCCAATGCGGTAGAAAGTCATAAAATAACCACTTGATTGGTGTCCCTAACTAGACAAAAATATTTTAATTATCATATGGCTATCTCGCACGTTTCCTTTTAATCACAAAATGTATTCAAAAACGATGTCGCTTTGAAACTATAAGTTCAAACATTTTACTATTAGAATATTTCTCGACGAAAAGGTGAAAGGAAGCTTTATCCAAAAATATCCCTTCTTTACCTCCTCGGGGGGGGGGGGGGGGAGAGCCAGAAGAAATTCTTCGTTCGGCTTTGAAAGTTGTTTTGTTATATTTTATATTTCGAAACTATTATTTGTGATAAATGGAATAGAAATCAAAAAAAAAATAAAGATGGTCGTTGTGCCTCCTTGGACGTTTGCTGGCCGACGACCACGAATCAAAATAATATTGTCTATTTAGAAAAATATATTGTATTCGTTTTGGTGTCGTTTCTTATAAAAACAAAATTTAAAAGCACTTTGTTAGGAACTTTTCGTACAATAAATTTGGTTTTCGGTTAGATTAGGTTAAATAAATTCACCATCAAGTTCAGATACAATACAATAGACACTACGTAGATAGCTTTGACACTATAATATGGTCCATATGGCCTATGATATAAAAACTCTGACAAATTTTGTTTCCAGTCCTTACAAAAAAAATGTATGTTTTCAATTTTATTATTGTTGTCGCGTGCCATTATAACAACAATCTTTTTGGCCAAATATTATGTTTAACCGTTCCCATAAGATTTTTTTTTCCCACGAGATCCCACGCTTATGTTATTTGTCTAGAATTTATATTTCTTATTTTTACGGTTTTCCAATATATAAGAGTCTTGTTTTTTTATTTAGTGCGCACCTAAAAATGCCAACAAATTGTTTATAGAATTTATAGTTGAACTTTTGTTAAACATATTTTGACTTTTCATAACGATATATTTAATCATTCTTACCATCTGCAGATTTATATCGAAACGTTTATTTTTTCCCAAGTGATCTTATCACTTTTCGTTATAATAATACTTCAGACCTTTAAGCCGTGACCTTTAGCCACTATTTTATGAACACAAATAGTATATTTACATAAATAACAATGTTAATATTGCAAAAATGATTGCCAAGCATTAACTAGCGTACGGAATTCAGACAATTTTATTATCATTGTACTTTATTTTTAACTTAATGGTATAATAATATTACAATATACTACTTAGACTCCATCGGTAGACAACAGTGTACATAAATTCCATCGACAAACATTATTTTTAAACATTTTAATTATTTTTATTAAACAAACTCAATATCTATATCGTTTGCCCTGAAGACAACAACGCATCAGGAATTTCTTCACCGATATACAGGCTAATCCATTTTAATTTGAAAATAATTTTTGTTTATACATTAAGTGTACGGTTTGGTATGTTACATCCTCATATAAATAATAAATATAAAAATATGAAAACGAGCAGTTTAAAAATAGATTAAGTTTTCTGTGTTTTCTATTATAAAAATTTGATAAATCTATTGGGATCACTGTCCTTGTGAAATTTTGCCTGTACTTTACT